AATCTCAAATTTAATCAATTATTTGAAAGACAGTGTTTTTCTTCTGTTTACAAGGTACCCAGAAACAGTTGCTAGCTTTCACAAATTTATTTGTGATTCAGAGCCATCTCCTGTGGGTTTCTCATCAGCCATTTGAGATGATTATTCATGAGATACTCATCACAAGCAACCATCCTTCTGTCTGACAACATTTTGCAGACACAACTTCAGAAAGAGTTTGGAGCAGGTGAGATATCATTATACTAATTTGAACTAATTCACTGGTATCTAAAATATCCAATTGCTTCAGGTGAAATACAGTACAATATTTCATTTTTTTCTAATGAAAAAAAAAAAAAAGAAGTTTAACTTCTGAAATTTCTTTTGAAAACTATTCTCTCTCCTTCAAAATAATAACTTGCACGGAGGAGGAAATAATTCCACTTGATTTAAACATCCTTTTAACATTTCTGGAAGAATATGCCTTGGAAATTCGTATCAGTTCTACTCAAAATTATGCTATAAGCTTTTGACAGCAACAAAAACCTATTATTTGCAAAAACAGTTAAATACTGGAAAGAGGTTTTTTTTGCCCTAATAGTAAATATAGTCTAGAATTCTGTTTTCAAATTCAGGTGAGTTAAAAAAAAAAAAAAAACAGCAAGGGGTGCAAATTTCTTTCAGTAAATGTTTGAAATGAGCTTGCATTCTTCTAACTTAGAAGCTGATAGCTGCTAATTCACCTTCCTTTCACCTGGCTTTGAGTTGCATCCAAACTACTCTTGTGGTTATAATAAAATAGTGTGGTTTATGCACTGCATCTAAAAGTTACTGAAGGGAATATATGGAAGGCGGTTTCTCCTATTTTAGACAGATAATGAAGGGTGGAAAATGCTAGTTATGCCTGCTGTCATGCCTCAGTACGATGCAACAGGACCAGAGCTACATGACTGAAACTCCAGGCTGAAGAGTCACAAGTATGCACATCACCATCATGCCAGGAACAGGACTTCACATCACACAGTTTAACATCCTGAAGAATATTTGGACCACAGTGGGGAGGAACACATTTGGAAGGCACTCATGGCTTTTGGTAGTCAACCTGAGACATCAGAGCCTGGATGATCAGAGGTTTATCCAGCCACGATACTGATTCTGCTTGTGATACAGCCTTCTGCATCCCTGATCCTTCAGTGCCTCAGCTATGTACCAAAATTACCATCCTTACATGGCTAATACTGAAAATTCATGCCTACATGAAATGATTGAGAAAACTGGTAGGCACACAAAAAGAATAACCTCCCTTTGTTAATATTAAACACACACCTACAGTAATATGCAGCCTCTATGCTTTTTGTCTCCTTAAACTGCCAAATAATGCCATGGATCACAGCAAGCAATACAGTGAAGCTGTTGTCAAGAAATGTCTGCCTTCAATTGAATTCACATCATATAATCCAACAGCTGCAGGCAACACCACCATAATACATTTTGGGAGATCAGATGTAGAAGAGGTGTCTACCCTCACTGCACCCTACGCTCTGTGATCAGCCACATCTTACACCCCTTTCCTCTCACCGTGGGGCACTATGAGCAAATAGCATTTTCTCTCCAGCACAGGAAAGTTGCTGCAGCCTGTGTAATGTTTCTGTGTTTGTTTGTTTTAAAGAAAGAAAACTACTTCTGCTCCAGAAATCAGTAGAAAAAAATGACACAGAGGAAGAGGAAGCACAAGTACAATTACAATCAAACAACATGGGGATAGGAAAAAAGCTAGCAACAGAGCTGATAAAAAAACAAAAACATTTGAAATATTGCATTCTGAAAATGATAAAATGAAATATTGTAACACTACCAAAACCTTCTAGCCTTTTCACTTCAAATAAAATATGAAAAAACCATTGAACCGATACCAAGTTTATATTCCAATGAAATAGCATTTTTTTAGAGGAAAAGCAATCCATCAGAAAATGTTGAACCAGCTTTAAGAACTTTATCTGCACGGATTACTCAGGTGAAAAATAGTCCATTTTGTACTGTTCACTTTCAAAAGTAAACAACACTTTGCATATTAAGTTCTGAGATACTCATTGTTCTGTAAGTCTCCACTGATGCATAGTCAGCTTATTCTATTCCATCAAACAGAACAATTCCTATTTAGTTTTGTGTTACTTCATCCTTTAAGTTAATAACTAGTTAAGCACTGAGAAATCTTCTGCAAGCACAGAAAGGCTTAAACACAGCAGAATGATGGGGGTGGAGTCTCTTTCCTCTTATTTTGGAGGAAATATTTTTTTAATGAAATCATCTTAGCTGCCGCCCTTTACACTCCTGTTACATCCCCTGAGCATTTCAGAATATTACCCACATTTTGTAAGTGTTTTAAGCTTCTGAATACATTTGAAAGGAATATTAATCTTCAAAATCACAAAAATTGCTTGCCTGTTGCTAGTCAGCTAACAGAAATCATTCTTCGAAGTAGAGGCCTGAAAAACAGTCTGGTATTTTTCTTGAAACAAAGAGGGACGTAGAAAAAAAAAAACTTCATTTAAGAATTTGCTGCAAATCAATTTTCATAAGCTTTTAAGCTTATTTGGAAATCATCTGATAAAGGTTTACAAAAGTCCTGCAGGCAGAATACATTGGAATAGCACATCAAGTTATGGGGAAGAGCACTCGCAAGAAAAGGACAAGCAGCAAATAGCATTTCTAGAAATCAGCTGCCTGACAATTCTTAAAAGAACAGCATTTTTATAATTAATTCTATAGCTGTTTCCTAGCACTGCTTTGGAGCTGGAGCATCACAATGGTCCAGCTTTCCCACCAGCAACCCAGCAGTACCGTGACAGCCTCTGTGCAGCCCATTGGACAGGTTCAAGGCAGTCAGAGACCCTCAAGTCTCAACTCACACTGATCCTCAGTTTTTATCTCTTCAGGCCGCCCCAGAGCCATTACTCTCAATTTGGCTAACTCAAAATCTTAAGGGACAGGGCTTGGGAGCCTGGAAACTGCTGGACTTCCTGAGATCATTACCCCTCTCTACCCACAACTTACCTCTCTGAAAAAGCCCATCCAGTGCTCTGTAATTTTCTGTGGAAGGATGTGCCTGAGTTTAATCCCGACAAAACCAAATGTGAAATCTCAAATCCAGCACAAAACACAATGACCTCTCTATACCAGCCCAGACAAGGGCTTTCTGAACACTGAAAACCTTATACATATTTTAAGTGGCTGCTGACAACATCTGCAAGGTATAAAATTTACTGCTCTACCAAGGATTTTAGCTTTCTCCAAGAAACAGAGCAATGCTGTAGCAAGAAATCATTAACACACATTAAAAAAAAAGATTTACAGCTGCTACTCTGGGACCCACTATAAACCTTCTATAAGTCTCAAAAGCAGGGAGAGAAATCCAGCAGAACTGCTCCTTTCTACCCATACCACAGGGAAAGCATCCTCCACGCATCAGACATCTACTTGTTTATTCAGCTTGCAGGGACCAACAACTGTGGAACAGACCTAAGGAATGTTGAATGCATGGAGATAGATGTCCATTACAAAAGGCACAGTGCAGTGATATGAAAGTGGTAGCGACCTGAATAAGACACAGCAGAACACCGTTCCTCTGTTTAACATAAGAAGTGGCAGCTCTGATCACCTTTCCCTATGTCTTAGCCCTTCCTCACTCTTTCACCTCTAAACTAAACTAATTCAAAGCCATAATTCTTTTGTTGAGAACTGAAAACTAGTTTTGTTTATTTTTTAACAGTTTTTGATGTTTATTTGCAGCATCAGTTTAACAAGCCAAAACTCTGCTACACATATAAATGAAACAGTAACAAAAGGAAAACCTTGTGTGAAGGACTCATCAACTGCAAGACTTAAAAAATACCTATACCTTTAATCTAAGAAATTAAAATAACATCTAACCCAATCAATATGTCAAGATGTTCGGCTTTCTTTAAACCCATAGCCACAAAAACCATATCTCCTCCCACATTCCATGCTAATATCATAAACTAATTTAACATTAGTTAATATATAAATAAAAATACAAGCAACTTGCTGAACAACAATTTCCAGTATTCAAAGCACAACAAGAGTCAGCCAAGTCACGTCAGCTTCTGTTATTGTTGCCTACACTGTTTGCCATCAATAAACTCCATTAATTTGGAGGTGACTTGGATACCTTCACACAAGCTGTCTCCATATCCTAGCTAGACTGATCTATAGGGGAGCAAGCCTAGATGTGAAACTGAAAGGTAAACAGAGTTACTCCAAATAATCAGCATCATAGCAATTGAAATGAAAATTTAGGTCTGCACATATTTCTCCTTTTACATTTAAGCCAGATAAACTCAGCCAGCCTATACGGCAGCAAATCCACTGACATCAGTGGAACCAATCTAATCTGAACTTGGATCCAAACGCAGGCCAGAAGCTGCCCTTTCAAACAGCTTAAGAAAAAAAATAGAATACGTATGCCAATGACTCTGACAGATGTCTATGTGTTACAGGAGAATCCTCAGGATTCAACTTGTGAGCCCCACAGCCCTGCCAGCTCACACAGCATCAGCACCAGTCTTGCCAGATTTGATGATTCATTTATAGTGCCAGCTTCTTGGGGCACACAGTTATGCAAGGACCTTCAGTCCATGATGAACTGAGGGAAGTTTCTGCCTGTCACAGTTTGAAATCCCAGTTCAGGAGTGTGATCACTGCTAGAAATACAGAAATCACACTCTAAAAATATCCAGAACTTATCACCATTTTCAAAACCAAGACAGGTGGTCCTATTTCATTACTTGTGTATATCTGCACAACTGGAAAGTGACCAAGGAAATATTAATACTCATATTTTGCAATTTTCAGAATGCAGAAGTAAAAAAGTTGCTTTGAATTTAGAAATGAAGGTAAAGTACTTATTGACTAACATTTAGCTAACTTATATTCATTTGTACCATATTGCCATTTAGTATATTAACATATCAATGCTGAAAGAAGAAAAAAATGTTACTAACCTGTGGGAATAGTGAGTAAGTTGTATTGTCAATGGTGAAAGAATACAAAAATTCCCCATCAAACCAGAGGTTCTTTCCCATTGGGGAGTTCTGTTTTGTCATGGCAAAGAGCTGCCCAGGGTCGCAGCAGTCTTCCAGCAGCTTCCTAGAAAAGGCAACAAAAAGAAAGAGATGCATGAGTTATAGCTCTGCAGCCATCTCTAAAGTCCATTTTTAACTGATGGCCCAAGCACCCGAGTGACCCACAGCTCCTGAGTGCTAGAGAGCAAGCCATTTGTTTTCCCAGCAGTATCGTGTGCTGCAGGTGACCATGCTGCGCATCAGATAACAGATACTAACAGAGAACTCAGAAAGCTAGAGGACCTAGAAATTCAAATTCTAACTTAGCAACTTCCTAATTATTTTTTTTTAGTTTTTACCTAAAGAAGAGCCAGCAACTCTGATTTTTTTATTTTTTTTTTAGAAAATTTTAGAAGTAGACAGTTAAAAGTTAACCCTCCATTCATTCTTGAATGGCAAAGAAATAAAAAAAAGATTTAGCAGAAAGCAGCCCATTCTTTTCAATCACTTCTAATTAATAAAAAAAACAGGTTCTCCAGCACACACAGCACTCAGAAAAGCACCTTTGAAAACCAAATCTCAGAACCCAAACTCAGCTGTGAACAGTGGGCCTTACATAAAACCCCATAGTTACATAACTTGAGAATGGAAAAATTTACCATCTCTGTTCAGTTATTAAGTATCCTTGTGCTACTTTCACAGCAGTGTTAGAGCTTGCCTGGAGTACCCGCATGAAGTCCAACTTGAGTCATCTCAGTTTGCTATCTATATATAGCATACATACATACATATAGCGAATATTACACTTCTCCTTTCCTCATCCAAACTGTATATCCTCTTACACTTCCAGTTCCCTAAAATAGCCATTACAGAGCTTGAGCAGCAATTTGAGAGATGGTGAGATGGCTGAAGGTTGTACTTGAGCAAAAATTCAGTATTGTTATAAGCTCAGCAATACCTTAACAGATAGGTGAAAAGCTCCTGACATCTGCAGAGCAGGAATATCTTAAAGCCAGCATGAGAGAAGCTTGCTAAAGGAAAGGTGGTGCTCATGTTAGTTTGCATCGGTAATAGATAAGATGCAAAAATACACATTGCACAATTATGTCATTACAGTAGATTAATATAATAATCATCATCATCAGTACAAGTTACAATAATTTATTGTTTATTTTAAAGAGGAATTAAAGAGGCTAAAGTCCTTCCTGAGGGCTGCATGAAAGCAGCAGGTGGCAAGCAGAAAAATATCACTTATCAGTGTCTCTAAATATTTGACTTAGTGCTCTCCTCTATGAAAGAGGAGATTTTATTCCAAAACAAGAAGTCAGCCACATAACTGTCTTTGCTGTTTGCTTTTTTTTTTTTAAAAGAATTTTCCAGAAGTTTCACAGCTACTTTTCTTCTCTAGAAAATGACAAGTAAAAAAAAGTATTTTCTCCTAAAATGGATTTCTGTTGTAAATTAATACTTCCTTCTAACTGGGTGAATATTATTTTATATACATATTCCAGCTGAAAATCTGGTGAAAGCTGTAGATTTTTGATCTTTGCCGGGCAGGAATCAGTTTGAAAAGATTGCGTGACCAGTAGCAGTCTATGGAAATTGCTACTTTTCATCAACTTTCTCCTCTTGAGAAGTTTAGTGATTTGCTTTTGTAGCTTCCCATCACAGCTCTATCCCCAGCAAAGAGCCACCTTTTGCTGGTATATAGCAACCAGCTTCTAGAACAAGATCTGAGGAAGCTCTTGCATGTAACAAGCTGATCAGCCCACCCTCAGCCAAAGAATCTAACACCTTTTACAAAGACTCCACCAGAAGCTTACGTCAGGCTGTTTTGTGGCTCAAAATGTTAACTATTTATTCCATCGAGCACAAGGCAGTACCACATGCCTAGACCTTACCTACCAATGGTAGAGGGCTCATGACTCCAGAGCACCCTACTGCTCACAGTGCTGTGAGCACAGACATGTTACCACGTGTTTTCCCTGTATGCACCCAAATTCCTCTCCGTATTGACCAGTAATGGATAAGTCAAGCTTAAATTAGCAATGACCTCCAGTTAACAATAGACAAAACTGTTCCTGGAGCTTAGACCACGCATTGCAGAGCCGTCTTGTCCTCTGCTAAGCAGAGCATCAGCCAGAGTGGCAACCAGCATTCCCAGAAACACCATCAAGACACCTACAGCCAGGGAGGTTTCCCATCATCCTGCTCCACCATGGAAATGGAAACCAAGCTGAAGGCAATTTGAAATTTCTCACCAAACATCCTTTGCAGAGCAGTTTGACACAGGCATAATAGAGTACTATTCCAAATAAATTTGAGCATGGAGATTTTACTTGACTTTCTCCAAGCTTCAGTTTGCAGCCTTTGGAAATTCTATTCCACTCCAACTCTCACTGCAGCTTTTTGAGAAAGCTGAGAGTAATCCAAGATCAGCTGGAGCCTCTAAGTACAACTGTATGGCAAAACTATAGTTTCCAATCAAAACTTGCAACTTTATCTTCACTGAAAATCTGTTTTGAGCAAGAAACGAAAAAAAGAAAAAAGGATAACTTGATGGAAAAGTATCAAGAGATTGCTTCAGATTAATGAATCTTTCCTTATCTGAGGTAAAGGGATGAGCTGAGCAACAGCTCCTCATTCAGTTTTTCTCTTCACAGTCTAACTAGATATAATATATATACACCTACTCTTCCTTCTCCCCAGAACTGCATTCTTCCAGTTGCCAGCAAGTCCCTTAGTTAATAAACTATTATGAAAAGCAGTAGGTGTCTTCTGGAAGGTTAGAGATAGCCAGAACACTACTTCAAGTATTATTCACCTGCATGTATTAGCACAAAAAATCTTGCGCACACAGACATGCTTTCTGTCACAAAAGAATAATTGTAATGGTCTTACATTATTCAGTTTCTCTTTCTGATTCAAATCCAAAAATTATAAGGTAAGAGAGGCTCCACAAAAAATATGCATTAAAAAGGAAAAAGGTATTCAAAGGGGAACTAAAGCAGGGCACTTAGCAGGATGATGGAGTCAGAACAGATTTGCCAAACTTGATTAAAACGTACAGCTAAAATGTTATGGCAGATTTTGCAAAACTGAAGCGGCTTTTAACCAAGGATTTCAATTCACCGCAAGCACCAGTCTGCTTGCCGGACGTGTATTACGTACCTTTGACTCAAAGTTATCTCCAATTCAGAAGACGAATTAAACGACTTGAATATTGCTATTTAAAAGGCACTCAGGCACTCAGATCTGAGAGCACTTAAGGGATAAATCCCACTTGTGAGAGAAGCAGGATAAAAGTTACTTCATGTCTCTCACTGCAGACATCCATGACTTGGGCCTGATCAGCACCAACAAGGCCATTAGTCCAGAGCAAGCACTGAAGTGGCCCCGCAGATCAACTCAAACAGCAGCTGCTGCTCCGGGCAGGAGCCCAACAGTGATTTTGAGATGTTATTCACATCCTCACAGTGCATTTTGTTGAGGTTAGATCAGCAGACACTGCGTGCTGAAAAGAGGAACAAAATCCCAGTCCCAAGAATCCTGCACCCAGACAACACAATCTTCATGGGATTTACAGCATACCAGCTCTCGTCTGATCCTACCAAGAGCCTGTAGCACATGGAGAGCATCACCAACATGTGGTAACTGGGGTGAATCAGGAGATCTGCTTCAAAAGCCTGCCTCTCACCAAAGGGCTAATACACACATACACATACTCTTCTCCACCTAGAAGGGGAGAAGCCAGATCTCTTTGATTAGTCTAAACCAAAACTTGCATGCATAGCCAGTGAAAAGGTTTACATAAAAAAAATGAACCATCAGTTCTGGAGTTAAAACTAGTGAACTTTTCAGTTCAGTTTCAAATTGCAGCCAATTAAAGCTATATCTTATCCTGGTTTGACATCAGTCCCAGCCAAAAATGACTCAGCAGCTAGATTAAGCAACCCAAGCATCTTCAAACTGACAAAGACAATATCTAAAAGCAGAAACGTGCAATTCCACAGCACAGGTTGTCAGCCAGGAGATGACAGCCCTTTTGCTATTACTTCTCCACAGGTGGGGCAGCTCCTGCATCCCCAGCACAACACTGCTCCTCCAGCTCCTTTGGCTGGGCTAAGGTTAAAGGCATAAGCCTCATCTGAGATGGAGCAGTGGGTAAAGGTGGCACAACGTGGCATACAGGGGAAAGAAGAAGGGTGGAAGGGTCTATTAAGACCTACTGGTACCCTGACAGCTGGCATTATCTACACCTTTTTCTGCCCCAAGGGACAGTTTTACAGCAAACCTTCCCACACACCACCCTGCTATCGCCCACACTTCACACAGCCAAGACGCATTTACCTGATTAACTCTTCAGCACTCTTTTCCACTGCCAATGCAGCCTGGGGTGGAAAAATCCACCTGTAACTGCATCTTGTGCTTTGCTTTGCTAAATATGGGATTTCTCATTCGGATTTATGTCAACAGTTCTGGCCTGATTTGGCCTAGTTCCATGATTAATGGGGCTGGGGAACAAAGTGCCCCTGCCCTAAGAAAGCAGAAAGGGAAAAGGTGGATGAGACAGCTAGGGTGCACACACCACAAAGACCAGTGGAAAAGAAAGTCCCATGACTCCCAGACAGCTTTATCTTTCCTTCTAATTGGAAAATGGAAAATGAAGTCTTCTGGGAACTGTAGCTCATTCTTCTCTTCTGAGAAAGGTATAGCCAAAATATCGACAATCCACAGAACTGCAACATTAACTTTTTAACTCCCGGTGCACTACATGATGTTATGATGTAGAATACCAATAATAGAAATCATAAAACCATGACTATCTACTGAAAAATTAGGAAGGTTATCAGGTAAGTGAGGCTGCTCTACCTCATGGGCCTGTTCTCCAGATCACTTAATGCCCTGATCCTTTTCTCATCTGCCAACTATATTTTAGTGTTCTCCCACAGATCATTTAAGTAACAGGTCAAGAATCAATCTCTGCAAGGGGCGAAGGGGAGAGGGTGGGAGGGGAAGTAATGCCAGTTTAAGCATTCACTAACATCAAGACATTTGATGAAGATAACATTTAGAGGAACAGGA